AGCAGGAACTCTGTGGAGATTGCTTCTCTTCAAAGAGACCCGAGCCAAACAGGTTCATTTCTTCTAAATGGTAAAACGGACTCCTATGTAAACAAGGCCCATGTCCCAAATCCACTCCTACCCAAGCTCCTTCTGAAGTCAGGAGTAAATTTTCACCCATCAGAAACCATCCCATCCAGATCAAGGACCCATAGAAACCTTCAGTAACATATTGACTTTGAGCAAATCCTTGGTAAAATACATCCCAGGATTTTTTAATCAAATTTATTGTTTTAAGCAGAACACTTCCAACTGGGCAACGTGCTTACATTGTCAGGAAGGTCCCAATTTATTGTTGGTTTTAAGATCCAGTCATTGAAGTGAGATTGGAAAACAACTACGTAGCATTTATACGGTATTATTTCACAGTGTGACGATGTGGAAGAGCTCGTCGCATTATGTTCATCAATTTAAACGAATAGATTTGATTCTACTTTCATAATCTTGCCTTGGCCAGATTTAGACCTTTCATCTGAATGCCTTCAATATTTTGGAAGCACCAGTTAATTAAACCTGTGAGGTAGATTAATAATATTGTACAGGGAGGCAAAATGGAGCAGAGAGAGTCAAGGCAAAGAGACTTGACCCAGGTGGCATCAATCAGCGTAGTGGCCGAGAACTGCGTTCATTCAGCAACCCATCGTCCTGCCTCCACGTTCATTGAAGGCAAGCTTTAAACTGCATTCATCAAGCATCTAATAGCCTGATAGCATTTAGAGTTTAATAGTTAGCTGAATTCTTCACCCTGCAAACAAATGAACTTCCCTACGGACTGTTATTTTTCTCCCCCCTTAACTAGACAAGATTTGGACTGGAAAGGAGGATTGAAAACTTTTTGGGGGGGGAACACCCCCAAACTGTGGAAATGTTAAAAAATGGCTTGCATCATTTCAGAGCGTTCAAGTAACAGACCAGGCGCTGCGGCACCGATCACTTCTGGCGTGTACACCTTGATCTTTTTCTTTTCCTGCTCCTCTACTGGAACTGATTCACAAACTCGGCTCTGCTGATAACCGAGGAATGGTGGTAGCGGTCCCGGGAGGCAAAATCTGCATTCTCTTCAGTGAGCTGAGTGGTCTCCATGCCAACTGTTGCAAAGGACGGTGTCACAACAATCCGCTCCTCTGGGGATGGCCTTCTCCTGAAAACAGAGAAACACAGAAACTTCAGATGCCCCATTGTTCAAAGTCCATTGGCAGCTGCGCTTTGAACTGTGTGAACAAAATGAATTGGATCCACGATGCACAAAGGCATGGCACTGATAAAAAAAAAAAAGAAAGAAAGAAAAGAAAAGGAAAAAAAAAAAAAAAGACAGACAGACTAATCTTTCCTTCATGCTAGGGGGTTGTATAAATGAACCCGGGAACAGTTCCCTTTACCAGGGAGAAAAAAAAAAAGTTAGTAACTGAGGTTAAGAGAGATTTTCTTTTTTCGTTTCATAATTCTGTCTCCTCTCCTTGATTTGGTTTCACAAGAAGCGAGGCAGAATTTGTTCCAATTACAGCTGCACGTTAAGGTGGCAATAAATATAGAAAGAAAGATGGATTTAATCTTTCCAAAGTTTATGGACCATAAAGTTGGAAGAAAATTAGAAGGACCCATCTTTCTAGTCCTGCTAAGCACAACAGTAAAAGTTAGTCAACGTGATCCTATCCTGCAGCAAGATTTTTCAGGATTCTCCTGCATGTCAGCTAATGAATTTCGGACAGCATTTTCAAACCCAGATGTCTAAATTTAGGCAACTCTGTACAGCCGATCCCAAAAGCCTAAAGAAGTCATGAGCCATAATCCAAAAAACTCATGAGATCATCTCCAGTCCTGAGATGTTGTTAAAGAATCGTACAGGCTGGGTTCTTTTCCATTGCCTTCCAGTTTCTTGCCTTCAGCATATATTGGCTTCATATTTTCTAGTAGTCGGGGTTGCAAGTTAACGCTTGAAATGAGTTTCATTCTACCGGAAGGTGAGACTCTCAGGCAGGCTCTTGAGTCCAGTGGCTGGGACTTCCAGGGAAACACCAGAACTCAAATTTCAAGAGTTCACACCAGACATGGCATCCGCAGTTAAACATTCAGACAAGCAGCTGGGGCTTTTCGGGGTGCAAAGTCCAGTCAGCTGCCTCTGAGGTTCTTTCCACCCCTTACAGAATCAGGCTCCTTAGACTTATTAAAATGGCCTTTCCTGTCTTGCTTTGCAATGGACAAGTACATCTCGGGCAAAACCCACAGTTTATTTCGATGTGATGCCTTGCAGCCGAGAAGCGTTATTTTAAAGGCCTTGTTACTGCGCGCAAGATCTGCAGGCATTATCATAAGGCTACCAAAAGAGCTGTCTAAAGTAGAGAGATTTCTCTTTGCGGCAGGAGATAAAAAAAAGATCAACCTCTATCTTGGCCAGTGGCCAGTGTAACACTTGATGCTTCCTGGCTGTGCCTCAACGAACCAACAATACTGATAAAAGGCATGGAGAACGCTAGAAACCTGCCAGGCTATGGCACTGAACCTCCTGTAATAATGGTACAAGCACCCAAAAGCAAGGGGCTGGATCATTCCTCTTTTCACCATCACACCACACATTGCCACTCTCTGATACGTCCTGAGCTTCAAGAGGGGTCCGTGAGGACTGTTTCACGTGGACCATAATTAGGGGTAAGAAATGCACAGTGGCGGATGGGAGGAGAATTCTGCCCTCAGTAGATAAAGCACATAAATCACGACATGGAGCTAGGTGGAACTGGATGGATGCTCTGCACGGGACACGGATCAGCCGTATCAGGTATGACTCACTCCATAATGAGTCATTCTGACTTGGCTTCTGCTGCTATCCCACCCACCCTGATCTCAGGCTTCACCTCTTAATCCTCTGCATTAGCTCACATTATGCTACAAACAATGCAAGAAGAATGCGGGACATACCCCTGGCCCTAATGCGATCTGCACAAATGTAATGCATGCCCTTTGAATCCATTCCCCCATCCTGGGTCTGTTCGTCGAACTTGGGCTTGAACCCTGCAAACATTCAAATGTGTATGTGATTTACTCCCATGAGTCATCCCCATGGCCACGTAGGTAAAGCTATTCACATGATTGTGATGCCATCTGATACAAAATCTTTAAGGGCACTGCTTATTTTTCTTACACCCACAACCGGTTTATCTAATGAAGAGGGCATAAGGCTGAGCATCAAGAGACCTGGGTACTATCCCTGGCTCTAACTTTGACCTCATGTTTGACCTTGGGAAAGTTGCACCCCACCCTTTGCCTGTTTAGTCTGCTAAGACTGTGAGCTCTTTGGGACAGGAAGTGTCTCACACTATGAGTAAACTTTCCTAATAGGGCCTCAGTCATGGCTGGGAAGCGTGTCAGGGCTACAATAATAGAAAAACATTGTTACCTAAAAAGTACCTATGTATTATCAATCGTTAGTGAAAACTTGACTCAGAGGTCTGATTTCCGCATCAACTGGGACGTTCCCCTCCAAATGGGGTATGTGCTAACTGTCATCTGTCACCAACAGTCATAGTGGTACAAAGCCTTATTTACAGCTGCTGCCTAGGGAATCCTTAAAGTTCGGTTCTCATCAAAGGAAGCCATCAGTTTGCCCAGCTGCATTGCACAAGTTTTGCCATAATGCAACCCCAAGTCACAACAGCATGGGAAAAGATGTGTTATGAACCTCAACCCCAAAGCAATCAAATTACAGGAAGACGGAAGGAGAGAGCAAGAGATGATCGCTGTCCTGGGGCCTGAAAACATCTACCTAATAGAAATTAGCTCCTAATAATTAATAGCAGCAACTTGATTAATCAAAGCCAATTTATAAATGAACCAGAAGCTGAAGGAGCTCCAGTAAGGAAAATCCTGAAGCAAACCAAAGCAATAAAGTGTTCTGTCCTAATACCATTCTGTACAAACTCAATACGTTGAACTGTGTTTTAATGTCATCGTTGAAGTCTCCATTTGGTCTCTCAGGACGCCTACACACGAGCAGTGAGGCCGCTCCAACATGGTGTAATTACAATGCGTCAATTAATCGAGTCCGCTGGAGCACGGTAATTACCACACTCCAGCGTCTTGTGTATCAGCATCCCCGCACTTAAAAATGGCGGCGGGGTGCTTTAACTAAGCACCTCTGCCGATGCTTTTAGTTCAAGCGCCTCTGCTGCCATTTTTAAGTGTGGGGACGCTGATACTCAGGGCGTTTTAATTAGAGTGGTTCTTGAAGCTGCTCTAATTAAAGCTCCCTCCACCCCCAGCATGTGTATATGTGCCCCGAATGAGTCTCAGTTTTCGCTTAGAAACAGTCTCTCCTTCCCCCCACCCAATTACTGTCAGACTTGCAAACTCAACATGAAACAGGACAGCCAAGAATAGTCCTTTCTGGTTTGTAGGACATCATAAAGCTTCAAGAGCTGACACGTACTTAATAGCCAATGTGATGATGCAGAAGCCAGGACAGAATCCCGCTCCCAAAGGTAACGAGGTCCTGGAGGCCAACGAGGAGTGCATATTTATCTCTGCCAACACCCTAAATACCCCACAGGGACAGATCTATTTTTAAGGTAGTAAGCATTTTCCATAGTCTCTTCTCTAGCCATATCAGCACTTTAAATACAAGAGGTCAATTATAGCAGCAAACTCTACTGCAATGGAGTGATTTAATTTTTCAGCAACATACAGTTCAAATGACAGCCAGACACATTTCTGTACGCTTGTCACTGGTTATGGTCAAGGGTGAGCATTGGTTATATTACTACCAAGTGGTCAGTACCAACCTGCATAAATTGCTCAAAAGTAACTTAATCCATTTGAAGAAACTGAAGTTAGCAGCTGCCCCTACAGAGAAAAAGCACACAAAGTCACGGAGATGCCAATTCACTCATCGTAGCGATACATTATCTATCATATTAACGTATTAGTCTTAATTATACACAAGTCAGAACTTTAATGGTAATTGTGAGAATGATTGTTATTTGTTCCTATCCAGTGAAGCTTCTAAAACATCCCCACAGATTTCACAGAGACCAACTGATTATTCCCAGGTAAAAACTTTGATAAAATGAAAAACCTAATAGCACCGCTAGCTATGTTACAGCTCCCTAGAGGGATCTCCAAACACCCTACAAAACAGGTAACTACTGTTGCCCCGATTTCACAGATGGGAACCTGAGAAAGAAAAAAGTGAAGTAACTTGTCCAAGCAGGTTACTAACATAGCCAGAAATAGGCAAGGTCTGTGGCGTTTCAGCCCATTCCTCAATTAATTTAGCCACAATACTTCCCTCACTATTATAGGTCATTGGAAAGAGAGTAATGGTGAAAACATCCAGTGACAACTCAAGCCAGGGATGATTCAAACACTGCTCTTTTCTTTTCTTTTTTTAAATTAAAAGTAGAAAGTCAAGGAAATTTTACTTGAAGTGCGGAAGATGAGGAATGACAAGCTTGAAGTATTCCAAAAAATCTTAACTATGCTCCAATGCTCAACCATGCTCTATACATCCCATTTTGAGTGGGGCTGAGAGCATAAGGAAGGCAGACAGAGGTTGAGCAAGAAAACCCACGAGAGGGGAGCAGGGGGGGGATGGCAAATGACTTGGGTGTTCATGTTTCTTTTGTTTCTTACATGTTGTCTTCACTGGATCCAGAGTGGAACATCTTTGCAAATTAATTAATTAACAAAGGAGTGTGTTTTCAAGAGCATTTAAGAGATTTAGGAAGTTGAATGCCACTGACTTCTCCTTCAAAGTATTTTTTATGCACAGCATAAATAATCTGTCAATATAAATGTTCACAGACCCCCTTCTTAACCCACACACCCAAGCTGTCTCTACATCTCAGCCCTTTCATGCCCACCACACACACCAACCAAGTGTAGGCTCTGGGGGCTTCTTGAATGTGTGTTACTGTTTAATTTTGAACCTGTGTAAGCTGATCACATGCATGAACCTTTTTAATGCCCTTTTACTTAAGAGTATTTTCGCAGATTATGTTCCTAATATATTCAAACCTGTTTAATTCTAGAATCAAAAGGCCCTCTTGTTCTACAAATACAAATGCTGAGGTTTAATGAGATACTTAATGTAATTCCAATTCCTGCTGCAGTTTTCTCAGGTAGGCTTATGTTGAATAATTAGATTTATTAAATATACTTGTAGGAGATTACTCATTGATGTGATGCATTTAATATCTGCTGTTCTTATTAACTCTTAACATCAATAAAGGTTCTTTGCAACTGATTACAGAGCATGGTAAAGCAACTTATTACAACCATCAAAACAAACATTGATCTATGATCTATTACTGCTAATTGCAATCAGGGTCAAATATAAAAATTAAAAAGAATCAAATTTGACTACAACTAATGAGAAAACAAAACCTGCCATTTGTTATATGCAAGTCGCATTTTTAATGAAAGTGCTTCGATTCTTAATTAACTCCAATTAAAATCTAATAGGTATTTAAGTAGATTTAAAACTACAGAATAAAAATACTCACCAGGGGGTAGACCCGGATTCACTTGGCCAATATAGAAATATAGAATAATTGCTACAGCCAAATTAACAAGGGTATAGATCCACTGAATGATGAACATTATCACAAGCGATCCAATAGCCTGTTGAAAATGCAAGGTTTAGGATAACAGCACAGTACAGAAATATTGCTCTACTAATAAGTATTTCCTGGCAAATCCAGATGACGTTTTCTGCCATTCTTCTGTTCTCGTGGCAGAACTGCAGTATGCTCAACTGTGAGAAAGAGTTAATACCCACACAGAGGGTTGCTAGGTCAGGAATTTATCCTTAAATTCTTCGAGAGGAATGCAGATCAACACCTTTAATGACGTCAAATAAAAAAGGGGAGGCCTGCAGCCACACAATATTTTATTAAGTGTGACACTATTGTGGCTTTCAAGGTGGCGTTTGAACATCAGTAACTAAATTTTGTTCAGAAACGCCAAAAACTATTAAACCACAACTCTTGTATTTTATAGCTCATTAAAAACCTATATTTTGAAGGAGTCTACACTGACAGGACCTTTCTGAGAGCTTTGGCCAGAAGAATTGTGTGGTCAGAGACCTATTGGCCATGCCCTGCTGGTTCCCTGGTCTGCAACAGAGCACCGCTCCATGATATAGAAGGAAATTAAGTGTTTTACCGGGGACCACTCTGTGGTCCCCGGTAAAACACTGGAATTGCACTGCGGATCTGACAAAAGCCTTGGAAGTCAACAGAAAGGCCTCTATTAATTTCGGTGAGCTTGATATTAGGTTCTGCACCCAATTCCTTTGCAACTTTTTTGCCCTTTCAAAAATTTCCATGGAGAATGTCCCAAGTTTTTCACAAAATGTTCATTAAAACTTTTTCAAGTAGCATACTGACTGCTTGATTTCTGCCACTTTTGCCACCTCCCCACAGAGGTCATTGTTACAAAAGTAGGCAGACATATGATGCAGTTGCTTTGACTTATTTTACTATTATTTCCATATTGTTTTCCCATCATACCTACCATGTGTTAGGAGCTGTATCAACATAACAGAAGGTATGGCCCCTGGCCAAAAAATAAATGAATAAAGACACGAGACCTGGAAGGATAGTAGAGCGTGTAATCAAATACTCTATTTCTGAGCAACTAGAAGTGGTTGAGTGGTTCTCAACCTCAGACTGGAGGAACCCCTTGGAAAATGCCAGCTCTTCATTTTCACTTGTGTTTTTGGCTATAAAGAAATAATGGAACAATTTTTCTGTTGCAAAGTACTCAACAGGTCAGATTGTTTTTAACACTATGGATTCCTACTTGAAATCTCTGGGTTTTTCTTGTGACTCATGTCTGTACACCTAACAGCGCTAACATTGTGCGGCTACCTTGAAAGGATCTCAAGGCACCCTGATTGAGAATCAGTGAACTAGAGGTTAAGAAAGTGATAAAGAACAGCCAACACAGATTTGTCAAGAGCAAGTCTTGTTTAACCAAGCTGATTTCCCGCTGTGACAAGGTGACAGGCTTTGTGTAGGCAAGAAAAGCAGTGGATGTGATATTCCTTGGCTTTCAGCACTGCTTCCCATGACATTCTCCTAAGCAAGATTAGAACTACCGGTCTCAACCAGGGGCGATCAAGATACCACATTTACTTGAATCTAAGACGAGTCCTTCTACCCCACGCTCTGTTTAATGGAGAGCAAGGGGCAGAGCTCAGACTGCTTAACTCCCACTACCTGCCCACACACTGCATCCCCCACCACCTGCCCCTGCCATGGCCTACCCCCCACCACGACTTGTGCTGATGCAGCAGTGGGGTGGATGAATTTAAGACAATCTTCCAATAAATAAGATTCCATAAATGGAAAATTATAACAAATTTATAAATATTCCACCTATAGAATCAAACTCTATGTATAGGGGGGCCGTCTTATATTCAGAGTTGTCTTGGATTCAGGTAAAAGTGGTGCATTCACCTGTCCTGCTACCATATTTCCAGACCCATGGGGAGCAATGCAGACCAGATGATCTGGCCTGTGCAATGCATCCACCCTATGAACTGGCCCTGTGTGGACACTGGGGCCATACAAGTTAGGCACCACTGATCTAGACATAAATACAATAAGGTGAGTATATAACTGGGTGGATAATAATACTCAAGGGGTGCATCTACACATGCAATTAATGCTCATGAATAAACTCTGGAGCTTATTGCTCCGGAGTTTTTTGATCCCATGCATGCCTTTTGAATGTGCAACCGTAAGCAAAAAACTCCGGAGCATATTGCTTCAGATTTTATTCGTGCATAGCGCGTGGAGCCCGGTCAGAGCAGCTGACCAGGATCCATGTGCTGTGGAGGGGCTGGCTGAGGCACGAGGTTGCTTCAGCATGTGGGGCTGCCTGCCAGCTAGCTCTGCACTGAAGCACCCTGTGCCTCAGTCAGCCAGGGCAGTGTCTACACATGTGCTGCTCTGCATGAAAAAACTCTGCAGCAGGGTAGTACTTGTAAATATTTTTATTAATTTATTAATTTAAAGCACTCTAATAGGGGCACACGTGTAGATGCCAAGACATTTACTGCACAGTTAATTAGTCAACTGTGCAGTAAATGTCTCATGTTGACATGCCCAAGTAGTAGTCATCAATAGCTCAATGTGAAACCGGGAGATTTCAAATGGAGTCCCCAAGGCATCTGTCCTGGGTCTGCTATTGTTTAATATCCGCATTCATGTTCTTGAAAAATTGGGAAAATAGTCCGAAATAAATCCAATGAAATTCAATAAGGACAAGTTCCGCAGAAATACAAAATAAGGAGCGACCGGGTAGGCTGCAGCACAGCAGGAAAGGACCTAGAGGCTAGAGTTGAAGTTGAGTATGAATCAATAAATACGTTTGCAAAAAAACCCAACAATATACTGGGATGTATTAACAGGAGTGTCACCTGCACCTGAAGGGAAGTGATCTTCCACTTGATTTCAGTACTGGCGAGGCTGCACCTGGAGTACTGAGACCAGTTTTTGGCACCACACTTAAAGAGACACAAACCTCTTAGAAAGGGTCCAGTGGAAAGCAACCAAAATGAAGTTAAGGCAGGAAGAATTGGAATTATTTAATCTTGAAATGAGAAGACAGGAGAGGGCAGGGCGGGGAGTGTTGGCTTTTTATAACATTTCTCAAATACCAAAAAGGTTGCTATAATGCAACTCTTCTCTGTGTCTATGGGGAACAGGACGCAGATTAATGGGTTCTTACTGCAACAAGGGAGATTGAGGTAGGATATTAGGAAGACTATCCTAATATCCAAGGAGATGGACTACATGCCCTCCTGACAAGGATAACAGCAACGACGACCCTGATAGCCCCAGACAACAATCTGAATGTGTGTATGCAGCCTAAGTCAATTTTGTTTCCAGGATCTTCCCAGGACAGCGCCACGATGGACTGTGCCATGCTCAGGGAGTGTGGCAAAGCCACAACAAAACCCAAAAGCTATTCATTCAAATGTCGTTTATCTCAGCCCTCCAGTTAAAGCACAGCTTGGTGACTTGGGATGCTGGGCTTGAAAGCCACCCTACACGTGTGTTTTATTGCATTGATTAGCTATTTCTTTCCACTTTCTATTATCATAAAGCAATGCACACAGTAAAGGAAAGGGACTTACACCAGCCAAGGAAACCCAGCGATTGCAAAGTCTGGAGTAGAAGGACTCTGGCATCCTCTGAATTTCTAGTTCTTGATTTTGTTGCTTTCCGTTTGAATCTGCGGGGTGGAATAAAGAACAGGATCCTTACGGCACAGGGCCGGTGTTCAAGCACAGCTAGAAAGAGCTAGGTTACTCCAACTTACAATCTTTTTACCTTTTCTACAGCATCTGGTTAAATGAAGACAAAATATAAAACCAAGTTGCATTAAAAACTTTAGTTCTACATCCAGACAGGCTACCGTCTTACCCTGTGACCTTGGACAAGTCATTACCTCTCTGTGCTTTGGTTTCCTCAGACATATGAAGGAGAGAACACTTAACTACCTCACTAGTGTTTGTGAAGCTTAATGAATCAATGCTCCTAACGCCACCCAGACCCTCAGATGAACAGCTCGAAACAAAGCATTACACGTCAAGGTCTACAACATAAAAGAATGTAGATGCTTAACTGCCCAGATGACATAATTAATTATGGCTCCCTGCGCAGTGTGGGGATAATTACATTTTGATACACCAGGTTTTACACTCATATCTCTTTCCCTCTTTCCCCCACCATCCCATCCAGCATCCAGATGAAAACAAACCTTAGGACGTGTTGCAAGATTTTTTAATGTGCTGCGTTAAGAAGGCGTTTTCAGAATGGGTATACATTAAGCAACCCTACAACTCTTATATAATCTGGCCTGTTTTCTAGCAATTAATCTTCCACAGGCAAATTAGATTGGAACCTCTCCTGTAATTCATTATAATGAACTCTACCCTTACCTATAATAAAAGATATTATCACCATGAATCACAGAATGACAGCCTCGTATAACGCTAGACTCTAGCATGCTTGCAGAAAAGCACCAGGAGGACAGAGATTATTAAGCATTCCCTCGTGAAAACACAGATGTCCGTCTCCCCACTTGTAATCTTTACCTTCCACTTTCTGATTGCGGGGATCCTGCATCTCATTAAAAAGCTCGTCTCCATATTCCATGAGCTCATCGCCACGCTTTTGCTTGGGGTCCCGAGCTGGCGACAAATGCGGACTCCTTTCGCACGGCTGATTCTGCTTGGCAAAGCTCTGTTGACGTTCCTCACTCAGCTCCAATGATTTAGCATCACAGTCATGAGCAGGGGAAACACGACGATCAAGATCCAGGAGAAAGCTATCTTGCAGTGTTTGTTTTGCTGGTTTCTTTATCTTTTTTGGCTTGACCTTTTGGCTTACATCCTTATCCTTCTCTTCGTCTTCTTTCCGAGTCCCCAGGTCTTTACTGAAAGGTTTAAAGAGCTGGTCCATATCTTTTGTGAATTCTAGCAAGGTGCCATCTGTCCTGCTTTGGACTATTCCATCTGACCCATACCTGGAAGGTTTGTTAAATATTAAAGGCTGGGAACAGTGGGCGGACCTCGAAGTCTCCTTTTGGGTTCTCCTGGACTTCTGCTGAAGGCTGTAACTCATGGAGACTGAGAAATAGGAATAATCCACAACAATGTATGTTAACATGAAATTGATGGTGACTATGGGAGCAAGGACGTTCACTTGCCCAACGAAGACAAAAGCCATGGTGATGAGACTCGTTAAGCAAATTGCAGCCACTGGTGTCTTATTAGGTCCTTTCTGTTTGGTAAACCAACAAATGGATTTGAATACATATTCACATATATCATCGACTTCAAAGTGAAGGTGACACACACTGTTGACACTGGCAGAGGATTAGCTACAGGTAGGCAGCGTTTAGGCAATTTTCTTGGCACCTGGCTAGTCCAGAAACATGCACAGATATGGACAGAAGCATTATAGTCTAGTGGATTAAGCAAAGGCCTAGAATTCAGAAACACCTGAGCTCCAATCTGACCTCTGACACCAACTTGCTGTGTGGCCCTGGACAAACTTTTTCACCTCTTTTATTTTCCCTGTCCATGAAACAGAATGATAAAGCAGTGATAACCTCTCACCCCAAGTATTAAAAGGATTACTGGATGTTTGGGCACTGATTCAGAGACAAACGCTTCTAATTACAGTTAATCATGCCTTTCCAATTGCAGAGCCGTGCAAGAAAACACATTGCTACCAATTAAAAGACTTGCTGTAGGCTGCTGTCTGGAACAAGATCACAACAAAGGTTTTAACTATTAGCTGAAGTCAAACAAGAGTTGGAAGGGTGGATGCCATTTTATAGCTGGCCAGGCCTTTGGCCATAGCAATACTACAGGACTCCGCGCTGAGCATTTCTCCCTCCCTGATAAAGTTGCATCTGGGCTAACACTGAGAGGAAAGCAGTAGGCAAGAGGTTAAGCAGTCAAGGATGTTGAAGGGTGTGTTTCAGGAAAAGCAACAAATGATGCCAGGCTGCAGTCAGGAAGGCAGGCGGCCACAAAAAGTAGTACTTTATTCTTTTAATTTGGGGTGGGGTAGAGGTGGGAAGAGGATGGGATAAAGATACAAAGCAAAGTGCATCCGGGTTGCAAAATAAAGGTCCAAGCTAGCAAGGTTTGAACTTTAATCCCAGGTCTAATGTGCACACCCTTCCACTGCCTTGGACACGTCCCTCAATATTTCTAGCCCCCTCCATGCCTCTGCAACCCCACTCAAAGCTGAAAAAGTCATTGATATGGGCATAATCTGGCCTACAAAAAGCTCTATTCTGAGTGATTATGTGCGAGATGTAAAGAAACCAACTCAACTCCTGAGCTTCGTCTTCATTAAGAAATTTGTGTTTAAAAGCTATCAAGAAAAAAAAAAAAAAGAGTTTGCTGATATGGCGCTACTGGTCAGCACTGATCAGATCAAGCACTGAGCAAATCCTAATGGTGTAAGGTTTATCTGTAATTAGACAGACACTGAACGTGACTTGTCGTTGTCCATGCTCACCAGTCAGGCATGGTCCAAAGCACATCTTCGCGGTTGGTTAAAAATCAAATTACATTCCACAAGAAGTCCCTAGTGAAGATGTGCCCTTATAGCACAGGATGAGTATCTCCTTACATGCAGTCTAGAAACTGATAACCCACAAGGGGTAGGGATAGGGAACCTCACAAAGCTACTTTCTCCATGGGAACCAAACTCAAGTTGAAACCGAAGGCCTGATGGAAACCCATGACCTCTCGCACGCAAATGAAACTACTCATATTAAAGTCTTTGATGACCTCCTCCCAGACCCATTACTCTATCCCCTTTCTCCTTGACCTACCAACTACCTTCAACATAATCAACTATGCTCTTCTTCTTGAAGTCCCAACCTGCCTTGGCTTCCATGACTGCCATCCCCTGGATCTCCTCCTACTTCCCTTCACCGCATCACTCACACAAGCCTCCTCGTTCCCTTTCTGACTTTCTGCAGCGGTCCCATAGCTCTACCTTTTGTCCCCTCCTCCTTTCCCCCTACACATCCTGTTTTCATGATCTCACCCACGTAACACAAATTCAGTTATCATTAGGGACTACTGTCATTTGGGTTTCAGGGGATTTCAAAGGAAAGCCTGAAATTTAGCATTTCCCTTGAAGCCCCGGAAAACTAATTTGGCGAGAAATGGCCTAAAACCATGGGGGGGAGAGAGGGAGGGCAGGGAAAAATTGTTTTAAAAAAAATGCTTACCAAAGCATGAAGAAGAAAGGCAGCAGAGCCCCAGAAACACTGTGGAAACCCCACATGAGCTTTACTTAGAAATTATTGTTTAATAAGTGGTGAGCTTTACTTTCGTAAACCAGCTGAAGAACAGCCTGTGTGCCGCTGTTCAATGGCCATCAGCCCCATGGCGGGCTCTTTTAGCCCGAGGCATGGGAGAGCCCACCCTGAAAAAATGCCTGAAAATGGCTTTGGTGAACCTGTGGAGAGCCCGCTTTCCCCCCTGCCAGAGCCTGAATTACAGTGGTCCCTAGTTACCATCCTTATGCAGTGGACTCAGAAATCTCTCTCTACTTCTGTATCCTTCTGGAGAAGCTAAAATCTCTGCATGTCTTTCTGACATCTCCTTTGGAGGGCCAGCTGTCAGTGCAAGCTAAACGTGGCCGACACAAAGCTCTTAAAGCAGGCTCAACGTGATTGAAACAGAGCTCTTAATTTTCCACTCAGACTGTCCTTGCTACCTTACTGATCAGCCCAGATAATGGCCCTAATCTGTCCATCTAAATCTGTCCGATTCTGCCCAAGGGTATGAACATACTGCAGAGTAGTTTAGAGACACCTAAGCTAGTTTTAAAGGAGCTTCAACATAGGCAATTAAACTCTTTAAATGAGCTTGTTTAGGTACCAGAAACAGAGCTAGTCTTAGTCGTACAGAGCTCTGCATGGGAGAAGAGACTATGACAAGGAAATGAAGCCTCTTTTATCTAAACGCTCATACTAATGCCTAGGACACTGCTTCAGTGAAGCAAGCGCTAAAGGCAGGAAGGGGATATTACAGAAGTTTCATTATCAGAAGGATGAAAATACCAGAAAAGGAAGAAGAATTATTAAAAGGGTATAGGAGTAGGGGGAAAAATTAAATTAAGCGGCAAAAATGTAGCCAATTTAGCCCGAATGTACAAAGAGAACTCTAAGGTGCCAAATGGGACAGATTTTAGGCTCACAGATGATAGACTATAAAATTCATTAGGAAACAGAAGAGTCTCTAAAGGGAAGGAGGGGAAGACTCAGCTGCTGCAACACTGGAAACCAGACTGGACAAGACGCTGTTCAAGAACAATATTGCGTTGGCTGAGTGTTGCACGAGATAGCTTAAAAGGTCTTTTTAACTTCCTACTTAATTCCTGTATGCTTTGAAAAGACTTCCTGGTTATTTTAAATAAAAGAAAAACAAGTTTTTTTGGAGGCCTTCAGAAATGTACCCATAGTACTAGAAACACTATAGCAGACCTGGGGGTGACTAGCTTTGAGTCCACTAGTGAATCCCATTGCTCATCCTGAATGACATGCACAAGTGAAAGAGCAAATAGTGAAAAGTAAGTTGTGGTTCTAAACTTCTTGCAGTTGCAGCAATTTAACGAGGCATTTTCAAATAGCAATTAGGTGCCTAATTCCTACGGACTTCCAATAAGAGCCAGGTACATACATACCATTTGTAGCTTGGCAAATCTCTTCTCCAAGACCTTAGTAAGTCAAATGGAGTAGAAATCTAAATCATGGAAGAACTGCTTTAATAATATCTTTCCAAGTACATAAACAAAAAATGAACTAAGTAAAAGTTTTTAAAAATGTGCTGGCATGACTGGGGCTCTTGCCCGTAACTGGAAGCTCTGCTGATCACATGAAGATACCTCTAATGTAGAAGGTACAACACTGCAGTCCATTTGCACCAAAAGTAGCACAAGATGTGTCCCCTCCAATATTTTCCATTCTGTAGTTCCTTCTACTGCATGTGCTTCTTTGACAAACCCACACTTCAAGTGGAAACTATTTCTATTTCCTCCTTGCTTATTTGTTAGACAAGAGTAATAAGTTTTGGACCTTACATGTTTTTACAACAATATGAGAGAAGCATCTTAAGTACAAAGGAATGGTGTTCTCAGAAAACATCTTAAATATTAGGAAGACTTACTGGGTTGGGAACAGATGGTAGAGTCTTGGGATGCCTATGGCTTAGAGTTAAATCTAGAGAAAATAATAATATCCTCCATATCAACAAGGATTAGGTGGACCACAACAATGTTTAAATCATTGTAGTAAAGAACGGGGGTGGAATGCATTAGGGGCAAGTAAATGTATTAACTGCTTGGTCCACGAACCAAATCAAGAGTCGCATCTCAAAGTGATGGGTATAAGGCACGGAGGAAGGAGATCTTCCTTTAATTCCTTGCCTGTTTTTAAAGCACTTCCTCTAGTGGCACTTTGCCAGCACAAAGGAGTTCATATTAGGAAATTTTATGAGAAGACAGAAGCTTGCTACCAAAGCGCTATGTAATGCTGGAATCAACCAACACAGCTCTATCAACTTATCAGCCACTGCGTCAAAGTCAATGAGAGCTAAGCCAATGTAAATTAGCACAAAAACTGGTCTCTCCAGTTTGTGCTAGCAGGAGCCAGTTAACTAGTTTCAATAAGTTGTTGTTTTGTTTTTTTTAATTATTAATACTTTCATTTTATGAGGCTCTCACACAGAAATATAAAATAAAGAGCACAAAAAATGGACCTATTCATACATTTTTTTTCTCTCTCCACTCTATAACAGAATGGCTGGTTATTGTCAGGCTGCCGTGGGACAGCGTTCTACCCCCACATCCCTTCATTTAGAAGAAAGGGGGTCATATAAAAGAAGGGTTTGCTCTGAATTCAAAGCCCAGGTCTGCAATCCTTATTGATGGGAGTAGCTCAGGTGCACTCGGTGGGGCTACACATAACAATAAGCTCTAGGCCTCTGACCAATATTCAGATAAGGTGGATAGGATCTGATCCATGATCCCAATAATTGCACCTCTTGCCATGCCATGTGTGCATGGCAGGAGGCGCAATGGCAAGATGGAGGATCAGATCCCAGCTGCATTTTATTGCTGGTGCGGGGCGGGTGCTGGTGCGGGGCCCAGTAGCATGATTCTGGGCTCTCCCTGCACCAGCAAGTAGCAAGCTGGATGCCTGGTGCACCCCAAGGCACGGTGAGGTCCGAAGGCTGGGACTGCCCATCAGGTGATCAGTGGTCCCAGTGACGGGAGTGTACTAGTCTTGAAGGGTTCTGGTGCACTACTGAGGCTTGAAGCACTGATCAGCTGATTAGTGCTGGCCACATGTTCAACTGAAGGTGTGATAGGAGCCAGCCACAAAGTTATTCCACATGTTTTGTGTATGTAGTAACTGTGGCTCATCCCATTTTATAGCACCATTCACGGCCTGAACGTGTGGCCACGTTACTACTTATGAGGTGCTTAACTGACTAATCACTTTTTAAGTGTGCCAGGGACTTTGCTTACCCAAGTAAAGGCCCAAGAATGATTCTGGCACCTCATTATGCAATTAAGTGACCTCTGCCCTATGATTCAGAGGTCCTAAAATAAAGGCCACAAGTCCACTCTCGACAAGACTAGCCCCAATTTCTGACATCAAGGGGGACAAGAGGCTTAGGGAAGAATGACAAAGATGCTTGAATTCCAGTTATGACCCAATTCTGCAAGGACCCCAAGCGATCATTGGCTTGAAAGGGGTTAAAATGTGCATGAATGCTTTGCTGAATCAAGGTCATATTCAGCACGACAAAATATTATTTTCAGCATGAAAAAATATATTTGCCATATTAAAAATATATATAATGAATAATGACTAATAAAAATTAAAAATTATTTTTAAAATAATAATAAAATGTATATACTAATAATTAATCAAACTTATTGGCTCATTTAGAGAGGGTACCATAAAAGAAGTGGAACCTAAAAAAGGCCTGAGGGTAAAAGTCTTTCAAATCAGCTTTCCATGGGCAGGCAAGAGACTGATGGGGGACAACTGGGGTACTTTTGAGGACATTTCTGGGAGACAGGAGGCAGGGACCACAAAATCAAAGACAGGACCATGAAGTTAGGAAAGAAAGGAGCTACACAGGCTCTTAAGGCAAGGACTGGGGCTTCAACTTGATGCCATGAAGGAGAGGTGGTCACTGGAGGGATTCAAAGACCTTATTTTGCATGAACTATGAGGAGCAACATGGATGCTGGGGAGAGTGGAGATGAAAAATTTACAGCAAGCGGATTGAGAGACAGGGGTGACCTGACCAAGGGCTCTCGCTGGGGGTACAGAGAGAACGGTTGCGTGATATTTTTTTAACAAAGCAAAATATTTCACTGCTATTTCCATGATCCCCGACAAGGTAAAATCACAAGCCCTCCCCACCCAGTATTTAATGACCATATATTAGCCATAACAAATGTAGTGAGGACAGACGCATTGTTTTGGTGTACAGGACATGCAGCTAATTCTGTATCACTGCTCACTAACCCCATGTCCAAGAAATGCGAGGATAGGTATCACTTTTTCCTGGGCGATGCACTGCAGAATTCGGGGTGCTCCATACAGACCGCCCATGCAGGAAGCTAAGGATGAGATATACAACCCCAGCAAAAACAAGAAACCCACCAGGGACACCTGAAAAAGGCAAAGAGAAAACAATTTTTTTGTTGTTTTTAACAAAGAATTTAACAAAGATTTTGAACGCAGAATTGTACAAGTTAATGAACTGAACCGATTTTGTAAGTCTATGCAATTTTAACAGACCCAGCTGTTAGAAAGCAGCAACGCACCATGCTCTGAATTGTGAGTGTAAACCAATAATACAGTAAAATGATCCTGTAAAAGCAATTCAGTGTTGAACACGCTGTACTGACTGGGAGCCAGTTGATAAGCTCACATCCAGAAAGCTGTGCCACTCGGAGCAAATGCAGCGAAAAAGCAGATATTAAGTTCCACTTAAGTAACTGGAAGTGAGTTTATTTCAGGAGAGCACACTTATATACAGAGAGCATAGTACAGGAAAACCTGCACAGCGCTCTAACCATCCAAAACAGGAAGACAAAGACAAACCCTTCGGTCCCACAGGGAAAACCTGATAGTGAAAAAAATCCACGTTTAAACCAATTCAGTGCTGCCATTTCAATAAATGAGATCTCAAAAACATGTTCCAAGGGATGTAATACTATGACATTATTTTCCTGTCTTAAATATGTAAGTAATTTCCTTAAGTGAACAGAACATAAAGCATAAAAATCCTTAAAGCGACAGTACTTAACTGGGAATATTATTGTATTTAAAACCTGTCAGTCTGCCATTACCCCATTTCCAATGTTCATACATATCTGTCGCTGAAGCACAGACATCTTTTAGTCCTACTGTTTTGTAGTATGGTAACACAAGAGACCTCAGCTGAGAGAGGATCCCATTCTTGTAATACTTTATAAGCCTATGTTAAAAGGGCACAAAAAAACTCCAGCCAACTCCACGGCACAATTTTTCTCTATGATTTAATTACACAAATTAACCGTGCAGATATCATTCCTTGCACGAAAGCGTAGACACAACTGTTGTGAGCCTGAACAGAATAAGTTCTGGTTATCCAGAAACACGCTGACAGTCAGAGGATGGATGGGCTTGTGGTTAGCACATGCAAAAGGGAAACAGAAGGGTTTTCATTTCTCTCTGGAAAAAATGTCAAGTCCATTGTCAGTATTTTTCAACATATAAGTTAAGGGTTTATCAAACCTTAATGATGGACTACAAAGCAAGAGGAAATGGTGTTTGCCCTTTCCTGCTTCTCTGTGATATATGGAGATGGCTTCAAATGTCTTTTCCACAAGATTTTTCCATATGCTGTGGGCGGGAGGGTTTTGCATGTAAAAATATCAGGGATATCCACCTTTTCCCTGTCTTTGATGGAAGACCTTGGTAAAACATTTGGGGCATTTGAACAATGTCATCTCAAGACACTGAAGCTACAAATTTCCTTCCCTCAAAACTGGATAGAAATAAGATGTTGGGTCTTAAATTTCTCAAGTGACAAGGACAAGAAAGAATGTGTGTAGGCTGAAGAACAGGCTTAGTGCTTGCTCAGAGGGCTGATATCACTATGTCTGTATCCAGCTTCTTGTCCCCATGATATCTGAACTCTCAAGAAATTCCACTACTTACGGAAAAGTGGCATGTTGTTAGCACAGGAGACCTAATGGGAACTAAGGACAGAGCCATGACATTTTGCTGTAGGATTGCAAAGCCATCCTGTGCTCCATGGAGAAAGACCAATAGGTCGTGTCCAGTGATAAATGACAACAGCTAACTGGATGAGTTCAGTCCTAATCAGGCCAGTGTGAAGCTAATGGAAAAAAGCTCAGAAGTCACTGCTGTGTGTTTAAGCAGGGGTGCCAAACTCATCCAGCCAAAGACGATCAAAATGTCAAGGCTAAGATGCAGGTTGGTCCTAGAGAGATTTTGGTCTCCACATACTGCTTCTTCCAAGAAGCTAGTTTTGATTTTATTCCAATGTCTACGTGAAAGTCTCACTGCCTCTGAGGCTCGCTGAGCAACTCCTCCAGCTTCACTACACATGAATCAGCCAAGCTGTCGGACAGCGAGACGGACCCCTCAAGCTGCCAGTCTGATTTGACAAAACCTGCCTCCGACTGTCATTCCTGGTCAGCACGGTGGCTTCTACTTGGGCAAGTCCATCAGACAGAAAGTAAAATCCATGGGAAACAGGTCAACATTTTTGACACAGATCCATCTTAGGCACACACACAGTCACATGCAGCGCCCTGGACAAGTTAATTCACTGCAACAAGACCACAGCAGTTCCCAGCTGGCATCTCAGGCAGCTCTATGCCCAGTGCTTGAGCTATAACAGCTTAATGAACAGGGCCCTTTCCATGTGCTTGAAGACTGTCTGCACAGGAATAAGCCATGAACAAAGAGCCACAAAGTGCTGGATTAACCGTCTCTGTACCCGGTATTTTGAATATCACTGTCCTCTGGCTGTTTTCTGCAGGACCCTTCACCTTGCAGCCACCATCCTTCTTGCTCATAATCACCAGTTCTTAATCAGCTACAGAGGTTACATGTCACTACTTCTCCTCTGTCTCCCGGCCTATTCAGCACACCCAACCACTTCACTATGCATCCCTTTCAGGTGAAGTAGGGAAATGCACTGTTTTAAACACACCTGCCTTAGTGGGAGTGCTGCAAGACAAGCAACCCACATCCCCTCAAGGAGACAACAGCTAATGCTTGCCCTGATGTAAGGATCTTGAGCCCAGCACCAGATACACCTCGTTATTAGAATATTCTCGGACTTGAAAGGAAGGGGATTTTCAGAGCACCACTGAATTTGGGGACCAAGGGTTGGATGGAGGTGAAAATAGGTTGAGAATTGCCTGAATTGCAGAGTTTGGTGGCCAGAGATGGGGTGATTTCCAAAATGGTGGGACAGAACAGCAGGTCGTATCAGAGCCTGTCTGGGCATCTTGAGATGTATCTGCAAGCAGCAGGTATCCCAGGCTATTTCTTTATAATACTTGTCTTCCAAGAAATGAATCCCCAATCTGTCCATCAGCCTAAGGCACTTACATTGGCCCCTATTATAGTAGCATCTGAGCGCTTCTCAGTGTTACATATATTTATCTTTGCAACAGCTCAGTGGGTAAAGAAATGTTATCCTCATGTTCTACATGGGAGCAGGATCTAAAGCAACTTGCACAAGTTCACATGGGAAGCCTGTGGCAGAACAAGGAGCTGGACTCAGGTCTCCTGAAACCCAGGCTATCTAACCCACGTGACCATCTTTCGTCTCAGAAGTAACACATTTAAATACATACAGTATATGCCTCAGATTAGTGAGCATTTATTCCTGAGGTCAGCTGGTACAATGCCTAATGAGCGGGGACATTTACATTTTTTAAAAGAAACCTGAAGACACATCGGCCTTTTTCTTGTTTATGAAAGCAGCTTGCAGCAGAAAGGAGACTGGACCAAAAATATGCAGTTCATGTCATTTGGAGCAGGCATGTAAAATTTGTGCGCTTTGAAAATTCAGACCTTCTCTCTCTCTCTCTCATTCACATACACACCATCCTTATCCCAAGAAAATGCATTAAGTTGCAGATGGACAAAGCTGAAGAGGAACAAATAAGCCAGCATCAATGTTCATTAAGGAAACAACCAGTCCCTGTCGATTTTGGAATGCTATAAACAGAAAGAACAATATATTGGTCCTATTTTTTAAAAAAATACTAAAGACAAACGATTGTGTCAAGCTTTGCATAACATTTCAGGCACCCAAAATGCTTGCATTTAAATGTACTACTTGACATTCCACTCAGGGCTAGGGGGAAAAGGTCTTTTCATAGAGCCTGGCAAAAGTTTAAAGAGCACAAATACTTCACAAGAATTTGGCACGTCAAGCCCATTAAATCACCTTTGAAATGAAATTACTTTGTATCCTATTTTGCATGCTTAAAATGTCGGCGTGTATATATTCTAGGAAGAAAAACAGCCATTCCTCTCAGAAATGGACAGTTTGCACTTTTTGATTTGTAATAATTTTCTCTCTGCATAAGGCCAGTAAAACATCAAGCTACTTATAGTAACTCTAACAAGCCGTGCTTTGATACATCTTTTGTACTTTCAGTTCATAGTGCATAAGGGGGAAAAGAAGATTGAGATTGTTTTTCATATTTCTTATTTCTTTATGATGTATGCTTATGGCTTCAAACTCTCTTCCACGGATATTTTTTCTGCTTGCTTTTCACAGGTTAGCAAAATTACATTTCTCTTTTTCTACTTGTTCATTAAAAGTATCCGTTAGCTAGTGCTTTTCATGTACAAAAAGACTGCCACATTTCTACAAAAAAGGTAGTGAATTAAACTGGCAAATGTACAATCATTCTGCTTCCTCCCTGAAATATGATTATGATTTCTGCCTTAGATAAGTACTATAAAACCACTTTAACACTAGTATTTCAGAATAAAATCTGAAATATTTTTTTTCATAAGACATTACAGGAAAAAATCTAGGGCTACATTCCCCTGGTGGGAAAATGAGACAGGAGATGTGTTCAAACAGATATGACAGGTTAAAATTTAGTTAAGAGAGATTAAATAAATGTAAAGCACATCCAACTAATTTAACACAATTAAACATTGCCAAATTACAGTGAGCATATCATTTTGGAGAAAGCACGATATTATGATATTAGCTACTTTGTGCAGAAGCATTTTACTTCCATTTAATATTAGACAGAGAAACGCGCTGAATTTTTTTATTTTAAAAGAGAGCTTCAATAACAAGGTCCATTGAATAGAAGAACACTACAAATCTACTTCAATGTGGACCATCAAGCATTTAATAATAATCCTTTTACTTGCGTTGCAATTGTACTACGCTAGACATGAAAATGTAAGCTTCATTCAACTTAGTAAAGATGAGCAATGTGATTTTTAGAGACTTCAATTTGCTCTACGTTTCCACTGATGAAACCACATACTCTGAATACAGTACAGCATTTGTCGAAAGCAATATTATCATATTTTGGTTCTCAAAGAGATGGTGATGGGATTATGCCAGATTCAATCTTAATGGGCATGACAGAAAATACAAGATATTCATATCAATCGTGCAGAGGAAGCTTAGGATGAAATTTTTCAAAGGAGTCTATGATACTGAAATCCCAGTGAATGTCAATCTAAATCCCTTGGGCTTCAAAACCAGCTTTAAATAATACAATGTGGACCATTTCTATAATGGACTGAGTTATTTTAAATTTGAAGAGGTACCTTTTCTGCAATCATGAAGTCATAGCGGAGGGACTCCCGGGTACAAATGGCTCCCAGCAGAAAAACAAAGATCATATACAGAAACCACCTAAAAATAACAAGAAGAGATCATTTGTTCCCCAGGGGAGGAGACCAACAAGGGTTTTTACTGTTATCAGTGTCTGAAGAGATTCAGGTACTTACAATGTGAACAAGTAACATGTGCATTATCTGTGGTGCTTTCCTGTTCTACATTTAAGGTCTATCTTAGTAACTTGGTCTATGTGGAAAGACAAACCAGAAAGATATGAGCCATGACCATCAAATTTGTCATTTTTCATGCCAACTCACATGCCTCTGCTTTAAGCAAAATGGTTAAGCACATGTTTTGGTACAAGTACACCAGCAGTCCCACTGATGTCCGCATGGACTACCTGCATGCTTTGCGTTAAGCATTTGATACAGAGCAAGACTTTAAAACGGCATCTTAGGATGATGCAGATTCAAATGAGATCTTAGAGGGATTCTCAAAAACCACCTAACTCCCACTGTGTTTTTACCTGGAGGCAATGTGGCCTAGTGGATAAAGCATCACTTTCTGACCTAGGACCTCTCAGGTCCATTCCCAGCTCTGCCACTACCTTGGACCTTCCTTCTGCCTGACTTCATGCTAAGACAGCTAACCACCTTTGTACCTTAACCTTGGTCAAGTCACTTGGCCTCTCTTTATCTCTATTTTTTTTTTGACAGATGGAAAAACTAAGAAAAAAGGCAAAGCTAAAGATCCCCTTAATCGTCTCAAGCCTGGGTTGGGGTGATTATGGCAGACCAGCTTCTACAGCCAGTGGCCTGAATGATCAGATACCCAATTAAAGCTGGATTCATTGGGGGCAGCCATCAGCATGAGCCTGGTGCAGGGCTCAAACTTGAGCCTCTGGAGCCTTAGCAAGATGTCTTCACCACTCTGCCACCACATACCAACCGAGACTCATACAAAATGAGGGTTGAACGGACCTCAGGAGGTCACATCTAGTCCAACCCCCTGCTCAAAGCAAGACCATCCACAACTAGATCATCCCAGCCAATGCTTTGTCTAGCCGGGTCTTAAAAACCTCCAAGGACATTTTTTAAGGTACTTCTCCATCTGTAGAATGGGGATTTTCCTACTCTGTAGAGAAAGCATGTTGAGAGCTATGGATGAACAGCAGCGGATAAGAACTTGGAAATAATCTAAGCAAAAATATAAAAACACCTTGTATTTTTGTAAAATATTGGACAAATAGCTTCAGAAATAAATATTTGATGGGAAACATACCACAAATTGAGAGCTTCTTTCCTATACTTCTTTAAAACTTGCCACTTTGAATGTCTGCAAGAAAGTATCCTGAGCATCCTGTTTATAATATTAAACAAGACTAGAGTCTTTTATCATGGCCTTCCCACACATATTGCTAGATATGCATGCAAGAGGAGAGATGTAGCTTCCACTGGTCAGCTACATCTTGCTATACATATGTAATAGGAGTGGATGGATCAGGCAGGGAACTGATGAGAGTCTTAGCTTCACCGCCCATCACATGCCAGTTTGAACAGCAGCACCAGTTCTCCGGGTACCGCCCAGTAGAGTCTCAGTGACACTATCAACCTCTCAGTCCTCCTCAAGGGACACCCCAGCAACTACTACAGCTTATAATATGAGAGCGCACACAACTCTAGCATTCCTTTAGATATACAGGGATAATACTTAGATGTTCTTATATAAGGGTTACTTTCAGTCCTGGGTAACAAGCAATGACAAGTCTTCAAAATGCGATCATCATCCCACAGAAAACACTGAACACCTCTGTAACGGTAAAGTTACTGTTTATTGTCAAACACTGTTAAAAACCCCTCTTGCACTACCACACAAATACTAATATGTGCTGATCAAGATTCAAAACCTCATACACAGAGCCAAAATGACATTCATTTGCTATCAAATGGGTTTCTTGTATCTTAGTCAAGCCTCATAAAAGCATACCCGAAAAACATGAACTACATCAGCTAATACAGTAAGAGACTCAATATGTTGCTTTATAAGACTTGTAATGTTTTTTTCTTCGAAAACAACCAATAATTCTGAATTCTACCCCGATGCAGCCTGATTTCAGGAGTCTAACAATACCAGAGTTAATACACGCCGCATTATGGAGCGATGCTGAGGGGAAAGGAAGAATTGATTTTATCTGCTTTAATGAATTTCTTCACTAAGCCATCCAGAGTAGGAGGTGGTAATGGATGATAATTTGAACAAGAGCCAGACTTTAATTTTCCAGATGGCTGAGTAATAAAAGGTTGATTGGAATATGAAAAGGATTGGTCACATCCAAGGCATGCAATAAACAGAAAGTAAATTCTTCCTTTTCTAGAGACTTACGAGGTGCCTATAGCAGCCAAAGACCCTAATGGGATGTTGGTAGCAGGCTTCTGGAGATCTCCGCTCATATTGAATCCAGCCATGACGCCTGTATTTGGCAGACAAAAATAAACACAATCTAGAGTTAGACCCTTTACTGCTTGCTGCAGAGCTGTAGCTATATCATTCCACTTCACTCTTGCAAGTACTAATATCAGCCCCGTGTCCATATAGCTTGGTAAGGAACAATTCATGTATCTAGTAGCAACAAGCTACCAATAACAAGCCCACAAAGAGCACTTTGTTCAGACTGGACAATGACACAAGAAAAAAGCATGAATTTAAACAAAAACGTCTTATCTTAATACAAACATCACAGAAAACAGTGTTGGTCAATTGTCAATAGAAAAGTGCTGCCATTCAACTCAGCAGTCCATTCAACAGGCCACATTGCCCAACTCTGACACACGTAGTTAGTCTCAAATATATTACAGGACCTTACATTCACGAGAGACAATCTTTATTATAAAATGACTTGTACTGTCAAGTGTCTAACAACTATCGCACATGCATTTAACAGGCAAAGAATAATAATACTTTGCAGGTACACAAGCATCTTCCATCCAAGGATCTGCTTTATAGGCATTAGTTAAAACTCACAACACCCCTGTGAAGTGGGTTTTATCTCTGCTTTCCAGATAGGGAAACAGAAATACTGAGAGAGTGAGTAATATGCCTGAAGTCACAGGGAAATCACATAGTAATACGGGGAACAAACTAACTACCAAACTGTTTGTGATTACGACTGTGCGGTGCCACTAGTGCTTAAAAGGCTACTAGGAGATCTCAAGGGGCCAGGACCTGCCATGAGCACATGGTAAAAGACAGTGGTTCCTGCTCAAAAACCTTACACCCTAAGTAGACAAGACAACAGAAGGATAAAGAAAAGGAGCATTAGTCCCATTCCCTCAGGGGTTAGACTGACTCCTTCAAACACAAGCATTCATAACCATGAGGCCAGTCAATAGTGCCGACGGGCCAGACGGTGAGGACCAGGGCTGAGATCACTGCAGAATAACAATGAAGATGAATGTGCCGACTCCACAACACTAATAGTTTCTGTCAGCCTGGAAGTAAGTTACCAAAAAATGTTCTGCCGTTCAACTGCGAAGCCAGCCGGGCGTTCGTTGTTTTAATGCTGCACAAGAATGATGAAGTCAGACTTTGGAATTGCAAATGAGTGACTACAGGCACCATTTCAGCAAGTGTCTACGGCATTTTAAGGCTCTACAATGAAATGGTTGCCTCACATGTGGATTTCTTCCTGACCCCCGGAAGAAGCAAATAAATCTCACAATAAGTCCCCTTTGCTGAAGTATTTCTTCCTAGTTCAGTAGAAAACAGACTCCAAACACTCTGAATGGCAATGGGCTAAGCACCAAAAGGGAGGGAGGAAGACTATTCTCATGGCTGGGAAGATAACCCAGGACTCTGAAATAGAGGTTCAATTCCCTGCTCTACCAGAGACTTCCTCTGCATGGCCTTGGGCAAGTAATTTCACCTCTTGGTGCTGCACTTCATCTGTTAAACAGTAACATGAGCCCTGCCAAGCCCAGATCAATTCCCACCACAGCCAAACTCTTGAAAGAAAGGGCTAACTTCCAAGTAAAGTAGCCAGGATCCAAATTGTCTTTGAATCTCAAACCTTGGAAAACTCAAACGTTTAAACAATCACAGTCAATAACCTGAGTTGCACCTGAAACAGAGAGGAAAGCAGTACAGCTTTTGGCGCACCAGTGTGACATGGTGCTCGAAACCCATCATATTGAGTGTCCTGTACCACTTGCAGCTTCCAAATGCTGTTCACGCATAGCGTCCTGTAGGCAGCACTACAGGAAAGCACTCTGGAAGTGACACAAGTCATGGACAACAGAAGCAAAAGAACCTAATCACACAGCAAATCACAAATGTCAAGCTAGATGATGATATAAAAGGTCCCCGAGTGACCGATGCCACTTGACAGGCCAGAAGCAATCCAAGATTATTATTGCCCAAACCGCTATTATGGAGCAGACACCAACCTAATGTATTTTCTGGCTGAATTCTCCAAACATCTGGCATTGTCCCTAAATCCTCAAGATTGAATCTGAGTCATGCCTGTGTCATCCAAGTTCTTACCTCAGCAAGGCACTGGGGATAAACGAAAGTGGTGTTTTCTGGATTTGATGAGAAAGACAAAGACCTGCGAGTGATGTGTGCAGCGATAGCACCATAGTCCAACACCAACTCCTTGCCTCCCCTCGCACTGGGTCACATTCAGATGAAACAAAAGGAAAGGCCAGACAAACCCCTGCTGAAACTCGTGAGAGAGAAATGATCTAACACTCGGGGAGGCAGAAAAGAGCTTCTCAAGGGTGAGTCCTATCACTGCTCTTGCCAATCTCACTAGTGAACTGGACAAAATCTCCCAGTCAGTAATGTCAAAGGCTGCTGAAAGATCTGGGAGAATCAACATAGGTGGCCAGAAACCAAGGCAGTCTCATCTGTACCAAAAATAGGGTTCAGATCTTACTAAAGAGGAACCAGGCGATTCAGATAATGCCAAAATTGCCCTGCAGTTTCATTCTCCGTCATCTGATCCCAAAGGGTGTGTCATAGGGTTATGACCGGCAAAGATCAGTGTCACGAGGAGCTGTCCTGAGCAGATGCAATCACTCATCTTATAATGAAGGAGCCACCTGTGTTTTTGGAGATAATGTTAACAAAATTAGCTAATGAGACCTGTCACCTTCCTGCTAAGAGAAGTAGCTAGCCATGTTAGTCTGAAGGTGGGGCTGATTTGTACCTTATAGACTAAATCAGAAAGCTTTTGTAAGCCGCAGCTTACTTCATACAAAGTAAAGATGGGGCTGACTTGCAGGCAGTAGGAGGAAACTCTTCCAGCAACTCCAGCTCCTCAGCAAGAAAAAGCGGCAAAAAAATTCTACTAATTAAAAGAAGTTGGGACCTTTCTCTCCTGCAGACACAGACCTGCCTCCACGGAAGAAACTGATCCCCTTCAAATTTGAACAATCCTATCTGCAAAGTGCTCAAGGGAGAGAATTACCCACCTCCCTGTTTCAGTGAGATAGCAGCCTGGATTTTCCAAGCTGGCTATTATCTCACATGGCAGCAGATAATGACAAAGCCGCTGGACAAGGCAGGATAAAACCGTGGTCAAATCAGCCAGGAAACCAAAGGAGCATGGAGACAGCCTGTACATCACAGCTCCTCCCACTGTAATCCTACCCTGGGAACTATCCAGAGGACAGACGCATGCCAACTTTGGCAGGAGAGGACCACTTATATGGTAGATCAGACAGAATATAAACCACAGATGGATGCAGGTTTCAAACTTCACCATGTGAGGTCTTGGACAGCGTACCTTATTATGTGAAATAAATTTTTGCAATCACTAATATGCTACATTACTGAATAATGAGCAAAGGCCTGTTGCCACACTTGAAAGATGAGGAATGGAAAATCTTAGATTAAGAATTGTAGCTCATTTAAAAAAAGGGACCAAATTCCCTGCTGATATCTGCTGGCACCTCTCCACAGACTTCAATGGAGCTGGGCCAGCTTGCATCACCAGATAGCTTATCCCAAGATCTTTAAACCTCTTTTCTGTCATTTTGAAAGCACCAAGCATGGCATACACTTAGAATATGCTTTCAGTGCAAAGGCATTTTCCACTAAAAATCCCTTCAAACGCTATCTTGCTTTTATGGGTAGTACAATGCAGTGTGCATTATAAGATGCATCTTTATTAAAAGGAAAACCTTCAGGGCCCAGTTGAAATGTAATAAATTCTTTGCACAACAGCAGCTTAGGCTCTCATGTTCAGAAACGCACCAACAACAGTGTGTGCTGGTAGCTGCCACGATGCAAGCAACAGCACGATCAGTGTGTGTTTGTGTGCACATGTGCATGCACACACATACAAGTACCTTGACCCCTTGCACATGCAAATTTTCAGTTAGCTGATCATTTGCACATCTAAGCACTTAAGTCAAGAATGCATCTGGACGTGTACTTTTGAAAAGCTGCCTATTTCTGCTTGGGCTCCCCACATTGGGTTTTTTTCTCATCTAGAGCCATTAAATTAGCCTTTATGACATAATCTAGTAAATCTGCATCTTCCATTCCCATAACCTTATGTGAGAGCCAGCCGCATATATATTTTTTGGATCACAGACCTCCTCTTTCTTATTACATTACAAAAACTGGGGGAACAAAGCCAGCTGAACTGTACTTCCATCTGCAATGCTAAAAATGGCTATTACATGGGAAGAAATAGGCTCCAATTGTGCTCACTGCTACCCAGCTGTAAAACTGGAATAACTCCACTCAAGAAGTTTTAACTGGAGCTGTATCAGTGAAAATACAGACAAACAGAGGAGAACAAATGACCCTTGGCCATTTAAAAAAAACCAATGTCCCTAGAAAGTACAAGTTACTGATTAGGTCACAAATCTGTCGGGAAAGAGCTATGCATAAGCAAGAAAAAGGACTCTGGTCCTCCCACCACTTAGTCCAATTTCCCTCTGCAGTGAACCTTGTCACAAGGAGGTCTTACTTATTGATGTTAGAGAACATCCTCCCAAAGGAAATTATAATTGTACACCCTACTATCTGATATGCAGTCATGCTTGCTGAGCCTGTAACAGTTATTATATTTTGGTTTTTTGGTTGTTGGGTTTTTGTTTGGTTTTTGGTTTTTTTTGGGGGGGCGGGGGGGAAGAGGGATTAGGAACAATTGCAAAGATAGTTAAAAAAAAAAAGACCCGCTATTATTTTTTTTCTTTCCTCTTGAAATACATTTTGGAGTCTCTTGGAAGGTGGTGGGGAAGAAAGGGAGATCTGGGAAACAGAGCATCTTCCTTCAACTGAAGCTAAACTGCATTGCACATAATATCCTCTTTAACAATATTTGTATTGACTAACTCAGAAAACCTTTCCTGCTAGGTACAGTTTCCCCACAGGTAACAATAAAATGTGATGGGTGGCATTTCCCAGGCTGTGGATCTGGGTTCTGCACGTGCCCTACTCCTTCTACAGGCTGTTCCC